TATTTTAATTTCCTCCTCCATATCATCTACATCATCCCAACCACTTTCACTACCAGCATCCAATTCACTGTCACCAGTGTCAATGTTTTTACCAATGGATTGGCCGGAAATTGTAGAACTGCACGAGCCGGAAATGCCTTCGGTTGGTTTGCTTTGGCGGGTTGGCTAGGTTCGTTGGCTTTGATCGGTAAGGAATGGTATGATAATAGACGTCAACCATTACCAAAGCATGATCCCCATACAGATGAAGCAAACGTGAATTCCTCAAAATCATCTTTGGACACTGATGTTGCTGGTACTAATAATCCACCACAAGGAGAAAATGTTCAAATGCAAAATATTCATACTTTTGCTGCTAGTTCATCTCAATCTCATTTGCCAACTCAACAACCTCAAACACAATTTCAACAGCCTCAAACACCAATTCAACAACCTCAAACACCAATTCAACAACCTCAAACACCAATTCAACAACCCCAAGCACAATTTCAACAGCCTCAAGCACAATTTCAACAGCCTCAAGCACCAATTCAACAACCTCAAACACAATTTCAGCAGCCTCAAGTACCAATTCAACAACCTCAAACACAATTTCAACAGCCTCAAGCACCATATCCACAAACTCAAGGACCATATCCACAAACTCAAGGACCATATCCACAAACTCAAGGACCATATCCACAAACTCAAGGACCGTACCCACAAACTCAAGGACCATATCCACAAACTCAAGGACCGTACCCACAAACTCAACCATCATTTCAACAACCTCAAGTTTCTCCGGTTCCAGCAAATCCTCAAGCAACGCCTAGTCCCAACATCGAATTCCCACAACCTCAATTTTTTCCACAGTAATTAAAAATTAGTTGATGGTTTGTTTCTTTCTTATTTAATTATAGATAGTATATACATTTTGTTTATGTATAATATTTATATTGTGGGATTGTATTGAGATTGTATTTATCTTGTATTATTTTTATTTTGAACGATGTTATGATTTAAAAGAAAAAACTTTTCTCTTAAAAACTAACAAATTTGATAATTTGATAATTGATGATAAATGTATGTATAATATGTAAAGATGTAAATTTTTTTTTAATTATATGTATATAAAAGTGAAAAGTACTGTGATATGAATGCAATAATATATATTTTTCCTTTAATGCAAATTATGCAAGTTGCGGATCAAAAGAGAACGAATTTTTGCGCTCAGGTGCAAATAATGCTTCTCTTAATGAATCTCTACGTTCAGGTGATGTGAAAAATGATGATGATGAATCTCTACGTTCGAAATTAAATCTTTCAATATAAGATTGTGGTTGAATAGAATCTCTACTGCTACCACCAGTGCTGCTACTGCTACTGCTGCCTATTGTTGGAGCTATACCAGATACCAAACCAATTGCTGAA